AATTCACCTTTTTTGGCAGGTAGTGTTTCTTATTGTCTTGCACACTTTTTTCCTAAGTTTTACATTCAGAATGCTTTAAAAATTCCATTTAAAAGACAATTGTTTATAATAAAATTCTATTCAATCGTGTAGACTCATAACGATTGAAAACAATGTTTTTTGCTTGAGTTTGGGTTTGACCAATTCGTAATAAAAAAGGAAAAAAAAAATAATTAAGACATGCGTGTCCGTCAACCTTAAACAATAATCTTTGTCAATTTTATTTTTCAGTCTTCATGATGGTCGATACTTGATCTATCTCTTACTGTTACATCCCCGGGCAACGCCGGGCTCTACTGCTAGTAATTTATAAATAATTAATTTTAATATTTTAGGCAACAATACTTGAGTGATTTAATAGACAAGTCTTAACACACAATTTTGAGAACGCGCTTGAAGATTGCAAGAATGGATAAAACTCTGAATCGTGCTATCGACGTTGAATATTATGTATATTGACTAACATATACTTATATCATTGTCACATAACATTGAGCACAGTATTTATAACATTTGAGATAGAAATATATTTATAAGTATGTGCAAGTTTATGTGCGTGTATGTATATTTTTATAATAGCAATATCTACATATATAATTATACATACACATATTTTTATATATATATATATGTATAATTATATATGTGCGTATAATTATATATATATAATTATATGTATATATACATATGTATATATATATATAATTATATATATATATAACTATACGTATACATATATATATAATATATATAATTATGCGTATACGTATATACAAATATAAGTATGTATATGTATACATATAATTATGCGTATATATAATTACAATATATATATATGTGATTAGAATTAAACGTATATATATATATATATATATATATATATATATATATATATATATATATATATATATACAGACACACGCCCACACATATATAATTATACACAATATTTTACTATTTATTACAGAGTAATTATACATTCTTACGGCTCAAAGTAGAGTCCCATAGTGTCATGCAAACTTAAGAGAATTCCAGTAAGATATTTTTTTAATCATTTCGGAGATACAGCAATTCAGATCTTAATACAAAAGTTATATAATTTTGCTGCTACACGATTTGGATAATTTTTGATATATATATATATATATATATATATATATATATACAGACACACGCCCACACATATATAATTATACACAATATTTTACTATTTATTACAGAGTAATTATACATTCTTACGGCTCAAAGTAGATATAGTGTCATGCAAACTTAAGAGAATTAGTAAGATATTTTTTAATCATTTCGGAGATACAGCAATTCAGATCTTAATACAAAAGTTATATAATTTTGCTGCTACACGATTTGGATAATTTTGCTGATATATATATATATATATATATATATATATATATATATATAGATAGATAGATAGATAGATATAGATAAGCATTCAGCCAAATAAGTTTTATCAAATTACACCGACAAGTTCTGTCTTTGCAAGTGTTTATTATATATTTTCAATTTACGAATCAGATTGAAGTTATGAATAAATTGTTCAATGTTCGTTTTTTTCTCTTATATTTCCGTACTTTGAATAAATTTTGTAGATTCATATTTTTTCTGTTATATTCAAGTACTTTCAGCGATCGCCATCATTGTTCCCGTCTCTTTCTCACCCTTTTTCTCTCTCTCACGTATATATATATATATATATATATATATATATATATATATAATTATACGTGTATATATATTATAGAGTCTTCATTCTAATGAGTTTATTATATATATTATATAGCTTTTTATACTAATGTTCACCTAATAAAAGTCCTAAGAGCCACTCAAGGTTATTGTGTTGTATTGTATGAATCTATGACTGGGTGAGAAGTAAAATTCATGGGTCTATGCAGTATAGACAAGTGTTAACTTTAGACTTAAAGTGGTCAAGATTGATCTGGAAAGACATCATGCAAGGGTCTGTTCCACAAAGTAGCAGCTCTTAGGAGGATCTCTCTGATTGGAACTTCGCCCATACTATTGGAATAAATGTATTGAAACAAAACAAGTTCAGTTGACCACTGATTACAATTCCAGAACAACGTAACTATAAACATTTTTTCTATCCTCTGCCAGCCGCAATGATGGAGAAAGCATTACCTCGAACCATCGCCAGTGTGACATGCTGCAAGAGCCACTCCGTTTAGCGAGGCTCGTCCCTTAATCGAGACGCAATCGCGCCAATCCTCCGAAGGAACGCCATCGAACGAGGGCCAATAACCCCTGAAGTCTCCACTGCCACAGGAGTAAAAAAAAAAATCTATCAGCAAGAGAAGAATATTTAACTATTTTTTTTTTCATCTCTGCATCCGGGGCGACGGGTCCTGACTCAACCGCGGACCTGATCAAATTACCGACCGAAAATGTACAGGTCCCATCCCAAATCATCGACTTCCCCATTTTAAAAGGGATAATGGTAATGCCATCCGGCCGCTTTCCATCCCCACGGTCGAGGCCTACGGGTTCGATTTGGGAAGGGAACCCAGCTGCATCCAAACCTCTTTTGATGATGTCGTTAATGGCTGCATGCCGTGGAAAGCGATCGGCACTACGACGACAGAAGAGAGGATGCAAACCAAACTCATCGATGGAGGCTCCACATCTGCATCTGTGACGCTCACATAATTTGAGTCCAAGACGGATCCCGACTCCGACTCGAGTGCACTCATCATCTAGAAGGGTACCGGTAGTTGAAGAGGGCACTGCGTTGAGCCAGGCGCCACTACTCGGTTGTGAAGCAGATAGTAGACAGGCGAGGCGATGCTGATCCAGAGAGAGCCTCAAATTAGTACAATTGGCCTCGCATTTTATTTTATCCCAGCTTTTTTGTTTTGATTTGTCTAGTGAGAGAGAAAGTAATTCTTGGCTCCAGACGCTGCAAGAAAGAACTAACCGAGAAACACTGAGACGATCAACCGAGTATTGGAATATGAATGGAACGAGGGTGATTCATTCTAATGAACGTGGTTTAACGGGTTCAAGCTGCGAAGTTTCAATTTGAGCTGGTGGAACCAAGAAATGTAGCTCGTCACAACACTTGCCGTGGAAATAGCGATACATAGCGACAGGCTCGTGACGTTTCACCTGTGGGAAAGCGGTTGTAATATTATTTTCCAGTAATTCATTAACCGCAAGGCCGCGTAAACGCTTTTGAATTCTAACAAGACAGGTAAGGGAGTACTGGGTAGATTCAGCAATACTCCATTTTTTGGTCTGATCTGTTCCTTATAAAGACAGAGTATAACAGGGAGAGTCAGATACTTAGTGTTGTCTCATCCGCATAGATACTCACTAATGATAGGAGTATGCACTTAAGCAGATCCTCAATATAGGCCGTCCTGGATATGACGATAAACTACACCCGGCAACAAGGTCTCTGATCGCGAGGCTTTCAGGCGCGTGGAACCACCTCTTAATTGCTGTTCTTCCCAGGTCTACACTGTCCCGAGTGGTAGCCCCTGTTATGGTTCAAACAATGGGCAGATAGTTAACCCCTAAAGTGGGGACAAAACACTATGAAAGTATGAAAATATATTTTTATTGTAACAACACCAGGAGTTCATTTCCATAGTAAAAATTTTGCCTGCAATACATTTTGTCAGGAAAAATAAAATAAAATGCATTTCTAGAAAAATGATTATTAATGCTCCCAAGAAAATTTAATTTTGGTAGTAAATAACCCATAAGGAGTTGATATGTCGCTAAACGAACAAACAATATAGTCTAGAAAGATTGTAGGACCATGGAGAGAACCCCGAGGAACGCCGTAATTGATCTCATGGCCTTCCGATCACTGGCCGTTATCAACAGCCTTAAGAGGTCTTACCTGTTAGGATGGATTTGCTAACTGAGAAATCCCTTCCAGAGATTCCGTCGCTGGAGAGTTTATGTAGCAACCCCTGATGACATGCTTTGTAAAAAAAAAAAATTGGTATATCTAAGACGATGATCCTCGTGATGAATATGTCTTGTGTCTCGCTGTGCGAGTAATAACAGTTAAGTTAGCAGTTTGGTGTCTAACACTCCATATCGTTCAAGAGGTTGTACCTGTTGGGGTATCTGACAAACTTCTTGTTGATTACAAATCCCAAGAGATTACCGATGCCACTAAGAAGGCTAATGGATCGATATTGCGACAGGGATTAGCGACCACTAGTAATTAGATTGTGAAACCTTTTCAAAAGGAGTCCTTGTGAATATTAAAACAATTACTTAAATCATAAACTTTCTCAATCAGCTGTACAATGTTTGCCCTACACAGAAATTAAAAAGACACGTACTTTCATATTAAATGAACGCCGACATTGGTATTGTGGGCTTCCCATGAGAGACCACTGACAACGACCTTCATATAGTATGTTTGCGTCAGCATTTCAGCGTTGCATTGGGAATTACGAAAATAAATATACAAATAATATTAAATAGATTAATATTTTTACAGTTCCTTTGCCCCTTTGATCCACCTCAGAGCTAAAGTTCCAGAATTTTGTTGGGCGCACCTGCAAACTATTGCACCATCTGCATAGATATGTACTAATGATAAGGATCTGCTCTTGGGCAGATCATTAATATAGTATAGAAAGAGCGTAGGACCGAGGAGAGAAACCTGTCTAAAGCCGTTTCATTGATCCTAAGCTCCTACGATGACTGGCTCTTGACAAGGACCCTCAGGGACCTACCTTTTAGGAAGTACTTGTAAATTGAGAAACTGTCTCTCGAATAGTGAGATTTGATTGGTTTCAGCGAAGTAAGAACGTGTAGGCAGCTTGTTAACAGAGAGTTATTTTGAAGGCTATAAATTTTATTCCTTTGGTAGAGAGACAGGATGGACGGAGCGAGAAGGAAAAAAGTTTTGATTCTCGTCTCATGAAAGAATCATTGAAATCTCTTGTGGTACCTTTTTTTCAGATTGAACGAATCGATATTATATAACTGCCAGCGATCATCAACATACGCGTATATCTCAATAGATAGGTATTTTGAGGAATATTGATTGAAATGAGTTGAAAAAAACTTACGAGGACAGGAAGAAACAAATAAACATAGATAGATAGATAGATAGATAGATAGATAGATATGAACAGACTGAAATAGATAGATAGATAGATAGATAGATAGATAGATAGATAGATATCAACAGAATTATATAGATAGATAGATAGATAGATATCAACAGAATTAAGATAGATAGATAGATAGATAGATAGATAGATAGATAGATAGATATAAACAAAATGAGATAGATTTAAACAGAGATAGATTTTAAAAAAACTGAGACAGATAGATAGAGAGAGAGATAGAGAGAGAGAGATAGGGAGAGAGATATATAGATATCAATAGACTTAGATAGATAGATAGATAGATAGATAGATAGATAGATAGATAGATAGATAGATAGACTGGCAGAAACAAACTATAGATAGATTTAAACAGAGATAGACTTTAAAAAAATACTGAGACAGATCGATACCGTATTAAAATTTATCAATCTTGTTCTGAGGAAAATCAGTTTAAAATATAAAAATGAAAATTAATTCACAAAATTCTACAACATATTCGCACTGGGAGTTCATTTGTATGCATCGATTTTTGGATTTGACAGTGGAAAAGAAACATCCGTAAATATTCTAGCTATATTCAACAGGTATACATGCTTATCAAAATATGTCTTTAGGCTTTATCGGAATGTATCGTTCGATGAGCACGTCTTGTGGATCATAAACACTGAGATTGATCCTCACTGACTTTTCCATGCTTGTTACCTTGCCCCAAATTCAGATAAGTTTAGTAAGTAAAAAGAGGTGCCTCGGTGTCGGGTAATTGTTAAAGAGCTGCGTAGTGAGTTCGATCTTCACTGCGTATTCTATACTTTTGTCATTGTCCCAAATTCTGAGATGAAATATTATGAATATTTATATTTTTTACATCGTTCGGACTGTTTCCCTCATCTTTATTGCTCCGTCCTTCTTCAGGTGATATACGTTGGAATTTCGTAACGAACTATTTATCTAGTCCGCGGGCGTTGATTGTTCTAACTTCTCATGCAATGCATTTTTATGTCTTAGTTTCAGTTAATTTTCTTTAGTAACTATAGCATATAAACTCTTATATTTTACCGCCAACAACTAAGACAGAATCAAGTAAGAGACGCCTTCAAATACATCTCACTAAATTCAGTAGATATGAAAACCTTTTTCTTAATTCTCTACAAACACGGCTCCAAAATTAAATAAGTGGTTTGTGGTACCTGATTGGATATGACAAATCGCGTGATTTTTCATCTAAGGCTTCCGTACGGTTGAACATCAAATGACCTGGAAAAGGGCAAGGCACGGCTTACTAAGTATATTCCCGCGCAAAACTCAGATAGCGATTCGGAGCCGACTCAAAAACGATAAAAACGGCATTATCAGCAACAATCAGGACTAAATCTGAAACAGTACACTCAGCGGACAGACCTGTGAAGACAGTAAACTGCGCCACATAACTCAATCCTCCAAGTTTTTGTTCCCAATGCACTGACCAGGTATTGAACTCTTTGGGTCAAATCATTGGATCAGTGAATAAAAGCGTAGGTTCACTGATCAAAAAAGTGATTTGACCGGAAGAGTTGTAAGTTCAATACTTGGCCACAGCAGAGGAACAAAACTTGGAGAGTTGAGTTACTAAAGTTACTTAACTGAAAATGAGATATAAAAAAAAAAAGAAAAAAAGTATGGCACATGGAATTAGTACAATCTTCCTCCATGGACTAAATAAAGCGTTCGATTCGAAATTGCAACCTGAAGCGTAGAATGGCCGAAATCTCGTGAATATGAGACGAGGTCAACAGTTCGAGCGATGTCAATAAATTCCGCTTAGCAAATAACATCGGTTATATCTGGTGATATAGTAAATGAAAAATTATTTTGTTCGCTCTATAGGGGCTGGCTTCATGGGACCATCAACTGTGCGTGCTTGGAATCCATAGTCTGTTAGGAGACTTGGTGTTGATATTTTCCTGTAATGATTCTTTCAAGCATGTTTCATTTTTACTGTTTTTATTAGAACGTTTATATCGCTGTATAGACCGAACTTCTTCAGAGGTTTGTTGGGTTTTATGCCTTTTCAAGGCCTCAGGTAAAAATTACGCACAATTAGATGACGTGCTTGGCCGTCAATAAAGCATGTGTATCATTGACATGCTGTTTGAATACACCATGAATAATACTTAGCTTTGCCAATCAAGTTTGTAAGACATTAGGCGATTTTAGAAGCAATTCTTCCTTCCGATGCGGGTCCATTTTATAGTAACGTTTGAATTTAGAAAACAAAATGGTGTATTATTCCACACAAAGATTGTCACAAGATACTTTTTGCTAGTAACTAGGATATGTTCGTTGATGTATAAAGCAACTCCATTAAGGTTTAAATAGGTACTTCTTTATTGGTTTTTGGATTTATTGTGCCTTTAGAGTTTCTTATTCTCGCTCTTTCTTTATTAACATTTTCTCTCTCTCTCTTTCTCTCTCTCTCTCTCTCTATATATATATATATATATATATATATATATATATATAGGCAAAAAGAAAATTAAGAAAAATTCCACCATTTTCTTTCAAATAATTTTCATTTTACCAAGCTTGGATTGAGGAATCGGAGAGCCGAGTTCGAATTCCAGTCGAATCCATTATATTCACTTACGTGCTAATACCCTTGGGAAAGGTGTGAATCCTCTTTCTTCTCCCTCCAGCTATGGGTAAATATCAGGACAGACTGGGTTCTATAGCCTTTGATGGCAATTGGTCTAGGAGAAGGAAAAACTCTGAATTCAAAACCTGTTCTTAGATGAGGGTGAATGGAGTCTCTCTGTGCCTTGGTTGGCAATCCATTTAGTGATGGTGTCACGATAAAAAACACCCTTGATAGCCCTAGCGAAGCATCAAGAATTCAGCTATTGACAAGATTATGAACTACACCAATCAAAGTATTAGTGAGTTCAATCTCGGTTGAGGCCGCAAGATCATGATGATGATTTTCCCAAGTACATTCAATCGCATCTGAGATCATCTTCAGGGGTTGCATGTCTACGGGATATGATATGCATTAACACCGTAAATTCAAAATATTTTTGCCTCTATTCAAGAGAGGTAACTTATGTGATTTTTTAAAAGATTTTTTAATTGTAGTATTTTAAATTAGTATTTTCATATAGCACTTTGCTGCTACAAACATTTAAGAACTTTGTATACTCGTAGTTGACTTTATAAAGAACCTCCAGAATTGATATTATTATCTTGATGAAGCACTGATGTATTTTCGACTAATATCTGTCTAAACTGTGAATGGGGACATGAGTGTTCCTTTAAATGTTCTGAGATTGAAATATGAATGTTTAATTTTCTACACAACCAAGAAATAATTAATTCATGAACTTGAAAGAATTAAGACTAAAATAAATAGACATACTATGCGTAAATTATTTAACCAAGCACGATTGTGTGTGTGTATATATATATATATATATATATATATATATATATATATATATATATATATATATATATATATTTTCTCTCTCTTTATATATATATATATATATATATATATATATATATATATATATATATATATATATATATATATATGTGAAAAGTGAATATAAATATAAATAAATATATATATATGTATAATTATTTATATATTATATGCGCGGTACTTATTAGAAAGCGCTCAATATCAGAGATAGAGCTAACATATTTGGTTGGATAGATGTGGTTTTGACCCTGGGTTTCACGCTTTAGCGATCTTCAGACGATCGCTAAAGCGTGAAACCCAGGGTCACAAACTCACATCTATCCAACCAAATATATATATATATAAATATATATATATATATATATATATATATATATATATATATATATATATATATATATATATACCCAAGTATATGATTGGTGTATACGGAATAAATTCCAATAACCAACAATTACTATTCTTAAAAGAGTGTTCAATACAGAGTAGAGCAGATATAATTATTTATTTATAAATTATAACATAAATATGTTATAAAATCTCTACAAAAATAGCCATGTTGAAACAAAATGGCTATTTTTGTATTGTATATATATCCTTTTCTCTCTCTTTACATATACATAATTATATATATATATATGTGTGTGTGTGTGTGTGTTTGTATGTGTGTTTGCGTCGGTATGTCACTGCTTCTTTTCTCTATTTCTCTATCTCTCTCTCCTTCTTTTTCACTCTCTCTTTCTCTTTCTCTCTTTAACTGTGTTTATCTTTTTCTTTTCTCTCCTTTTCTTTCTCTATCTCTCCTTATTGTACTCAATCGTTTTCTCTCCCTTTTTCCAACTTTTTCTTCTCCCTTACTATTTCTCCTCTCTCTCTCTCTCTCTCCTCTCTTACTCTTTCCCTCTCTTTTTCTGTTTTTATCTATATTTTCTCCTTTTCTTTCTCTGCACCACACTTTTCCATCTATAGCTCTTGCTATCTTATTCTCTCTCTTTCTCTCTCTTTCTTACACTATGTTTCTCTCTATATATCTCTTTCTCCTGATTTATTGCGATTTCTGTCTTTTTGTTTCTTTTGATCTATCGCAATCTCTGTCTTTCTCTCTCACTCTGTTTTTCCTTTCTGTCTGTCTTTGTCTTTTCTTTATTTCATTCTATTTGTATCTCTATAGAGCGCGCGCGCACGTGTGTGTGTATGTGTGTGTGTGTCTTTCGATTTTTCTCTCACTTTTTTCAATCTGTTAAGTTATCTGCGCAAGTCTTTTCTTTTCTTTTTTTTTTAACCTGAATCACCCCAAGAAAGGCAGTAATGCCACTAAACCATAAGAGGTTACAGGGTGTGGAAGAATTAGGAACAGAAACATTGATGATGAGCAGATAGAGAAGAGAGTAATCAGGCGGACAGTAGATAGCGATTGACATTGCATTTAAATATTTGCAAATTAAAGTTGACTTGAAAGCATGGAACCAGAAGGGAGTTCCACAAGGTCTATCTGTTTATTCAATCTCAGATTGCATCTACCTGTCTTTTCGTTTTTTTTGTTGTTTTTTTTTGCTTTTTTTTTCCCCCTGTCACAATCTATTTAAATTTGTCTGTAAATCACTTCGACACACTCAAAATTTCGTTGATAAATATCGACACATATTTTCTAACGAATCTACAATTCCCAGGTAAGAATTCTGTGTCGACCTACTTGACAACACGATGATTCATAGAAATGGATAACAGGAACCCAGAAAAAAAATGTATGACAAGGAGGATTCTTTTTTTTTTTATTTCAAATGCTTTGCCTCTTCAGGACATAGCTGTCTGTGTTTCTCGTTTCGTCAAATATCTGTTTAAAAAAACGCATAGAATATAGAGATATAGGATGAAAGAGAAAAAGAGTGGGAAAGATTGATAGAAAGAGAGAAAAAAGAGCGGGAAAGATTGATAGAAAGAGAGAAAAAGAGCGGGAAAGATTGATAGAAAGAGAGAAAAAGAGCGGGAAAGATTGATAGAAAGAGAGAAAAAAGAGCGGGAAAGATTGATAGAAAGAGAGAAAAAGAGCGGGAAAGATTGATAGAAAGAGAGAAAAAGAGCGGGAAAGATTGATAGAAAGAGAAAAAGAGGGAAAGATTGAGAAAAGAAAAAAGAGGGGAAAGATTGATAGAAAGAGAGAAAAAGACCAAGAAAGATTGATAGAAAGAGAGAAAAAAGAGCGGGAAAAAGATCGTGTGCAATAAAGACAAGTACAGAAGGAAAAGAGTGGTGCAAAGAAAGAAAAGGATAGAAAAAAGGGTAAAGAGAGACACAGAGATAGAGAGAAAAACGAAAAGATAGAGGGGGAAAGAGAAAGTGAGACTAAATGATTGAGTGAAACCCTTTCCCTCTGTATATCTTTAGAGAGATAGAGAGGTAAAAGCGTGGTGCAAAGAAAGGAAAGGATAGAAAGAAAGACAAAGAGAGACACAGAGAAAGAGAGAGAGAGAAATGAAAGATAGAGGGGGGAAGAGAAAGAAAGACTAAATGATTCAGTGCAATAAAGAGAGTTACAGAGGGAAAAGAGTGGTGCAAAGAGGAAAAGGATAGAAAGAAAGACAGGGAGACAAATAGAGAGAGAAATGAAAGATAGAGGGGGAAGAGAAAGACAAAGAGAGAAATAAATATATATAGAGAGAGAAATGAAAGATAGAGGGGGAAGAGAAAGAAAGACTAAATGATTCAGTGCAATAAAGAGAGTTACAGAGGGGAAAAGAGTGGTGCAAAGAGGGAAAGGATAGAAAGAAAGACAAAGAGAGAAATAGAGAGAGAGAGAAAAATGAAAGATAGAGGGGGGAAGAAAGAAAAAAAAATAAATGAGAGAGAAATGCAATAAAGAGAAAAAAAGACTAAATGGAAAAGAGTGGTGCAGTGAAAGGAAAGAATAGAAAGAAAGATATAGAGAGAAATAGAGAGAAGTGAAAGAGAGGGGGGAAGAGAAAGAGAGAAAAAGAGACTAAATGATTCAGTGCAATAGAGAGAGATACACATGGGAAAAGAACAGTGCAAACATAGGAATGGAAAGGAGAAAAAGAAAGACAAAGGTGTTAAAGAGAGAGAAAATGAAAGAGAGAGGGAAAAAGAGGGAGAGAAATAAAAAGAGAGAGAAAACAAGTGAATGCAATAAAGAGAGATACAGAGAGAAGAGAGTGATGCAGAGAAAGGAAAGGAGAAAAGGAGAGATAAAGAGGGTTAGAGAGAGAAAAGGAAACTTCTCTTTAGGTGTATGTCGTGACCAATCAAAACTGGGCAATTACACTCCACAATTTAAAGAGTGGCGCAATATAACCTTTCTAAGACCTAATAATGCTAATTAGTCCCTACTTGTCTTTTGCAGGTGAATATGTACCTGTATTTAATGAATGCTGTGTGTCATGGAAAAGAATACACTTCTTCGAAACTTGTGGACTGCCACTAGAGAATCACAAACAAAGAACTGTATCAAATAACAGAAACTAGCTCACTTGAGGACATTCAACAACAGCTAAAATGGATCAGCCAGTTATATGCCATGCATGATACACGTTTAGACGATTATGCATCTTTCGATACATGCCTGACGAGGCAGACTTTTATTTCCCGCAGTAGGTTGTTATTTCTTTCTGCGGTAGACCAGTTGCCATCCAAGGCTATAGGACCCTCTTCTTCTCTCTGTGTGTCTCTTTTATGAATCCTCTTCTTTTCTCCCCAAAGCTGGGGGTGGGAAGAAGAAGAAAATTCATATCTATCTATCTATCTATCTATCTATCTATCTATCTATCTATCTCATTCTGTTCATATGTATCTACGTATCTAATTCTCTTCATATATATCTAATTCTGTACATATCAGTCTATCTACCTATTTAAATCTTTTCATATATATCT